ACCCCGGGCCGAGCTCCCGTGAGCAGAGCCACGAAGCGTTCAGAGCCAGTGACCTGGACGGCCTGCTGCGGGGAAGGCTACGGCGCGGGTGGCTTTGCTCCATGTTATTTTTAGTATGTGTTGTCGGGAGTGCTGCGGCCAGAGAAGGCGGGAGCTGGGCGGCGCGGCGCAGCTGGGGCCTGCAGTGGGTGGCAGCGCCGCATCCTGGCCTCCGAGTGACCCGGCCTGGCAGTGAACGCCGGTTTGGGGACTGTCCGCTCCACATTTGACCGGAAGGATCGGGACTGGAAATGAGCAGGTGTGGTGCGCACCTGTCATCCCAGTGCTCTGGAAGCTGAGGCAGGAGCACCGCCACCAGCTGGAGGCCAGCCTGGACTACATAACAGCACCGTGTTGGAAAACAGCAACAGAATCTTTGGAAGCCAGTGGTGAGGGCCTTCAGAGTCTAGGCTGGGTGAATCGAAGCCATCTGGTTCAGGGGTCTGCTTCCAGAGTTTGGCCTAAGAGAGACAGGAGAGGGGCCAGGGCAGGTATGGCTCCTGGGGAGGCAGGGGAGCAGGGACAAGGCCACCAATGGTGCTCAGCACTGAGCACAGCGCCAGGGAGCTGCTTGGCACAGGGCAGCTGGGTAGCAGAGCCCATACGTCCCCAGGTTTGATCTCCAGCACCAGACCCCCATCTTTTTGTTGCTTTGAAGTTCAAATTTACTGTCCTGTTTTGTTTCTTTTTTGGAACCGAGGATTGAGCTCGGGACCTTGTGCTTGAGAGGCAGGCGGCAGAACCACTGAGCTAAATCTCGTGCCCCTACTGTCCTGTTTTTATTTGCTAAATAATTTGCAGACTGCTTTTACAGTAAGTTTGCAAATTTTCACTTCATGTGGATTCTGAAGCCTGGTAACAGAATGTGGAAAAGGCATTAGTCACAAAGCTATAAGCAGCCAATGGGTGGGCACTGTCATCCCAGCCTTCTGGAGGCTGAGGCAGGAGGATCACAGGTACAGGCCCAGCACTGGTGACTTAGTGACTCAGGGAGACCCTACCTTAATAAAAAGGAGAGGAGGCAGTTAGGGGTTGGGGTGTGCTAGGTACATTCCAACCCAAACCGGGCAGCTATGACCTACTTCTCAAACACCTAGCCCAGCCAGCCACCCCCCCAGTCCCCAAATGGCAGCATCAGGCACCTTGGCCACAGGGGCTACAGCTCCGACGTCCCTGAGGGACAGATGGATGTGAAGGCCACTACTCAGTGGTATGGTCATCCCAGAAAGGGGTACTGTTTCCCCTGTAAGCTGGGCCAGGGTGCAGGGCATCTGCTGATGTCTGCTGTCCGCCGAGTGGAGGAGGCCAGTGACAGGAAGTGCTGGCCACACCCCCTCCCTATCAGGGAGAGGAGGCGACCTCACCAGGGCCTCCGGGGAGGCCAGCTGTTTACTGGACAGGATTTCAGTTTGTGGGTTTTATTTTATTTGCAGTACTGGAGATTGAACCCAGGGTCTTCATGCTGAGCTACATCCCTGGCCCCTCCCCCTTTTCATTTTTTAATTTTGACAGGGTTTCACAAAGTCACTAAATTGTCTAGCTCAGCTCAAGTCTTTGATCCTCCCTCAGGCTCCCAGAGTGCTGGGGTCACAGTTGTACTCTATAACACTTGGCTTAACTCTGTCTTGATGTTTTGTCGTTATAAAAGTATTACATATTGTATTAAAGAAAAACTTTCAAAATTCAGTCCCCTAAAAGATGGTTTTAAACTGGGCATGGTGGCACACAGATGTAATCACAGAAATTGGGAGACTGATGGAGGAGGATTACAAGTTTAGGGCCAGCCTGGGCAACTTCACAAGCCTGGTCTCAAAGATTGTAGAGTGTTTGCCCAGCGTGTACAAGGGCCGGGGTTCCATCTGCAGCTCGCAGGAACAAAAGATGCATAAAATACATCACAGAAGTGAAACTCCCCAAACATATGCAATAGGTGAAAATCTCCCTTTCCCCTCAGCAGCCACGCCTGTCGGGGACATGATCTGCTCAGGGCTTTGTCTGTCACCTGTGCTCTTTGCCCTCTGCTCCTCCCTGCCTGTGTCCTGTTGGGGACTCCACTGGCCACTCAGTCCTCTGTCCTTCTGCACATGACAGGCGCGGGTGAGGGTCAGGGGCCATGCTGAACTCTGCCCTGAGGAGCCCAGGCCGAGAAGCGTCCAGGGCCCGGTGGTTGCAGCCCAGTGGCAAGTGTCTCGGAACAAGCTGGCAAGGGCAGATGACAGCAGAGCTGCACCGGCTTTCTGCCAAGGTGCTGAGTAGGAGCTGGTCAGGACGGGGTGATGGGATGGCACGGCCTGGGAGGAATTTCCTTCTCTTGAGCTTTGAACTCAACACTTTGCTTTTCAAGAGAGAGACTCACAAGTCACTAAGTTACCCAGGCTGGGCCGGAATTTGCAGTCCTCCTGCCTCAGCCTCCCAGAGCTGGGCTTCCAGGTATGTGTCACCCTTCCTGACTCAGACTTCCTATTAGAGGATTCACAGAGGCCAGGCAGCAGGAAGAACAGGGAAGGGCTGGCAGGTGCACTCCCATCCCTCAGGATCGGAGAATGCAGCCATCAAAACAAGCAGCGTTTGGGTCCTGTCCCTTTTCAGTGGTGACTGGGACTTTTCCTTGGGTCTTGCGGCACCTGGGGCCTGGCCAGGGTCCCTATGCAAATGTAAAGCCCTGCCACCCTGGACTGGCCAAGTGGGGCGCAGCACCTGGATCGGGTGTGTCCTCCACCAGCCAGTGGCCCTGGTAGGCCTGAGGAAAAGCTGCCTGGGCACAGCCTCCCTGGCTGCCTCACACAGGCAATGCGGGAGCCTCCCTGCAGGCGGGTGTACCCCTTGGCTGGTTTCGTGTCCTGCAGAGACAGCGTGGGGACATCGGACATAAGGGTTGCCCCAGAGATCTGGGGGTGGGAGGGGTCGACTGTGGTGCAGCAGGTCTGTGGTGCTGAGAAAGGTTCCTTCATGGAGTATACGGGGCCATTGCTCTGGTTACACTGTTTTGCTCCCACATCAGACTAAACCCAGATAAATAGCAGCTAGGGGGCGTGGTGGCAAATGCCCCTAAGGAGGCCGAGGCAACTTTGAGGCCAGCCTGGGCCACATGCTGAGATCGTGTCTCAGAACCACAGAACTGCCGAGCCTCCTGGGTGTCCCCCTGTGGTCCCAGCCCTGCACACGCCCACCCAGGCACTCTCTCTCCAACCTTCACCAAGCCCAGCACAGGCCTTAGGGTCCCCACACGGAGCAAGTTTGCCCTGTGAGAGGCTGACAGGTCCCCCACGACCAGGGGCCTATTTCTGACGGGACAGGGTGGGCTGGGGCTGGCGCATGACCAGGGAGCCTGAGGTCACAGCAGAGCGGGATTCACTCCTGCAGGGCAGGCCAGGGGCTGGACAGGGCCAGATGGTGGTTCGGTGGTCAGTGCTGGCCCACTGTGCAGAGCCCTGAGTTCGATTCCAGCACTGAAATATAAAAACAGCACCCTACAAAACACGAGTGGGGGTTCAGATGGGGCAGACAGGCAAAGACGTGGGTGAGGAGGGCAGGGTGGCAAGGGGGCATTGCGCGCTGGACGTCCCCTCTCCGGGGGCAGCAGTCTGAGCCCCCACTTCTCGGGCTGCCGGGGATGGGGATGCTGCAGAGGAGTGGGTGACGGGCAAGGCCACAGATGGCGAGGGTATCGTCATTCCAAGCGGCCCAGTGCCACTGCCTTCCCGAGAGGACGGTGCCCCTGGCCACCACCTGCTGTGGGGCTTGGTGTCGGCGTGCTCACCACATCGCTGGCGTCAGACTCCGTGAGAGCCAGTGGTGAAGAAAAGAACGTAGCATCTGCGTCACTGTCGGGAGTGGCCGGGTCTGTTGTAGTTGCCAGTTCCGTCCTGGACGGGCTGAGCAAGTGCAGCACCCACTCGTGCTGAGGGGAGCGGTGCTGCTCCTGTCTCCAGATCTGCTCCCCTTCAGCTTGAAGGTGACAGCAAGGCCACCTTGCCTGGCAGATGCCTGGGTCCAAGCTCCTTGCCCTTGGCCACCTCCTCAGGAGGCCTCTGAGAAACCCGGGCCTAGGAGCCTGGTATTAGCAGCCCCCCTGCCAGGACCCCAGGTCTGGGGCCACCCTCAAGCCCTGATGCACCCCTCCTGGGGCCACTGTGACAGGCACCACAGCGGCCCAGGGCCGAGAAGGGGGAGTGTGGACGTGGCAGGGCCAGCACAGAGCCCTGGGCCTGCAGGACCCTGATCTTACACAAATGGGAGCCTGTGGTGACCCCAGAGAGAAGCCAGACAGGAGGCACAGCCCTCGGTGGTCACTGCAGAGAACAGGGTCCCCAAGCAGCCTGCTTGAAGATGGGGTGGGGGGGCTCCCTCGCCCTGCTGCCTGCTTTCTTCTCATGGTACTGGAGTTGAACCCAGGGTCTTTGCCTTTGCAGTGCAACATCCCCAGCCCTTTTTCTATTTTGTATTTTGGGACAGGGTCTTGCTAATTCTCCCAGGCTGAGCTCACACTTGGGGCCCTCTGCCTCAGCCTTCCAGAGCACTGGGATGACGGATTACGCTACCATGCCCGGCTCCTGTGGTCCGTCTCCTCCCGTCCTCTCTCTCCTTTCCCACTCCACCTCCTTCCTCTTCCAGTGCCAGGCAGGTCCCCCAGTCTTCCTGGTTCTAGCACTGCCCCAGGGTGGCCTTCGGGAGGAGAAGTGGGGATGCCTCTGACAGGCAGCAGCTCCAGGCGGGCCCAGCCAAGGCTTGGGGGGAGCAGAAGGGCGCTGGCTGCCAAGACGGGAGTGGGCCTGGGGCAGACAGTGGAGGTCAGAGGGGTGACAGCAGGATGGCTGGGAAGGGAGGCCCAGGCCTCCACCCAGTGCCGCTTCCTCCCAGGAATCACCGGACCCCCTCTTGCGTCTGCCTCCCTGAGACCCCAGGTGTCAGGCGTCCCCTGGAACCAGCAGAGAGACCTCAGCACACAATGGCATTCACAGGAGACTCGGTACTGTGGACTCCTCGGAGCCCGGTGGGATCTTTAATTGGTGCCCAGCCTGATGACATCCGTACAGGACTAGGGCAGCACTGCAGCCCCCAACCTCCTGGGTACTGCCAGGCAAACAGGATGCAGATGGCTGGGAGCCAGGGTGGGCAGGACGGGAAGTCTGTGTCCTCCCTGTCCCCACCCCGTGGGCCCCACCCAGCTCTGTTGGGGCAGTGCCCAGTGGGGCTTGGTCCTGGGGTACCCCTGGAGTCCACATCCTCCAGCCCCCAAGAAGCCACCCGGGCCCAGGCCCATCTTCTCCGTGTCACCTCCTCAGAGGCCCCCAGAACCCCAGGAAAGCCTGGTGGCATGGTGTTCACTGTGGTTGGTTCCTGGGCAGCTGCACCACCAGCTGCTTTCTGCTCAAGCTGGCTCTGCCCGGGTGGGACACAGGGACCCGAACAGGGGCAGCAAGGGGAATGGGTCTGGGGGCCAGGAGGTCTCAGCCATGAGGCTTGTCCTGGCCTCACCCCAGCCTGGCCACCTCTTCTCCTGACTAGAGTCCTCTCCGGGAGCTGGCCTCCGGGCACAGGACCCTGGGTCAGCTTGGAGTTGCCCTGCCTGGACGGGACGTGCCACTTTGTTAGAGAACCCCGAACACATGCACCAGGCAGGGCCGGCTGTTGGTATGAATGCCAGCCTGGGACTCGGTCCCTGCACCTGTGACAGGGCCTCTAATGCTGACAGGAGGGGCGCCAGCCCCCTGGGGAAGGGTGGGCACCAGGATGTGTCCCTTGATCAGGGCTGCATGCCAGGCGAGTGGCCCAGGGGCAGGACCAGGACCGGGCCCTCCCGTGAACAGCAACCCCCCACCCCCACCCTGGCCCCAGCACCCCGAGTTACATTCATCAGTTCAGATCGGTAAGAAAAATGTGGGTGCCTCTCCCCGTGGAGAGCAGGGCCGTGGCGTGCTCGGGGGCAGAAGCTACATTCACACAGCGGGTGTGCACAGGACCTGAGCCGCGGGAGGTGGCCTGGACGAGTCCTCCCGGCCCAGTCACCGTGGCAAGAGGACACCACCACACCACTCTGCGCACCAGAGCAGCGGGGGACCTGGAAGACACGTGCACGGCGCCACCCTGGTGGCTGACGGTGGCGCCAGGCGTGGGGAGGTGGCGCTTAGGCCCCTCCGGACCTGGAAGGAGAGGGAGCGTCAGGGAAGAGCCAGGCAGGGCCCAGGTCACTGCCGGTCGCGAGTCACAGGCCGGTGGGTGGGGGTCAGACAGCGGCGAAACAAGGACACAGCGACAGACAGATGGACGGACAAGGGGAAGGGCATGGCGGGCGGGAGGCACGGCAGGCAGGCGGAGGGCTTTGCTCCAGGCAGCGGAAGCGGGCAGATGAGATGAAGGAGACGCGAGGCCGGCGTCACACTGCCCCCTGCTGGGCCGGGCCGTACCTTCCTCGGCGTATGTTTCTGCCGGTACCGGGAGAGGACGGGCAGGGAGAGAGCAAAGGGGTTGTCACCCTCCCGTCCCCACCGCCCAGGGCCCAGGCAGAGACCGCAGGTCCCCGTGGCTGCACACAGGGACGGATCAGCCCACGCCTCCCTTGGGGTCGCACGCTGTGGGGGGGTCAGCCAGCTCCCAGCGAGCACAGGAAGGGACACGGGGGTGCCCACGGGGAGCCCAGGAGGGGGACCCCAGCTGTGAACACGAGTCCCTGGGTTCAGTGCAGCGGCTCAGGGTTTTAAGCGGCAGCGCAAGGTCCAGGGGCCGCCTGGACAGGCAGCAGTGACCTCTGGGGTCCCCGAAGCCTGCAGCCCAGGTCTGGGGTCCAGTGTCTCTTACTTAAATCCCCAGCCTGTGCCGCCCAGGACGATGGCCGCGACCAGGACGGCGCCAGCAATGGAGCCGATGATGATGTTGGTGCCACTGGGACCTGGGGAGAAGACGGCTCGGTGGCAGGGCCAGCCTGGGTCACGGGGGCCGGCGCCATCCAGCACCCACCTCACCTTTGTACCGCTCGGTCTCCGCGGTGGGCGGTGCCGTGGGCAGGGGGTTGTGGATGCTGCAGTCCTTGCCTGTCCAGTCGGGCTGGCAGATGCACTTGCCCTCGTTGCTGCAGACCTGGGGGCACTGGCGGTGAGCGGCTGGCATCCCTCCCTCGGGGGGTGTGACTTAAGAGACCCGGTCTCGCTGTGTAACCCGGCTGGCCTTGAAGTCACGGCGATCTTCCTGCCTCAGCCTCCCGAGAGCTGGGGTCGCACCGCCCGGCTCCTGGGTCCCCTCCACCTGCCTCCCCTCGCCCAGCCCCCATCCCTACCCCGTGGTGGGAGCAGACCCGGCGCTCCCCGCTGCCCGGGCAGGTGCTGAAGTTGAAAGCCGAGGCTGGCAGACAGCGGTGGCCCAGGCACAGCATGTTGGGCCCGCAGGCCGTGCCGTCCTCCACGTAGCTCAG